AGCAGACTACTACACGGAAAGTTCTGTTCCAGATTTCTCTCCTTGGCTTGAAGATGATGATCTTCTTCTCCACTTGGTATTCTTTCTATATGTGTGTCTCTCTGAAGATTGTCTTTTCTTTTTCTTTTTTTTTTTTCCGACGTCATACTGGCTTAGAGCCCATTCTGATGACTTTATATTAACTTGATTGTGTTAAGACTCTATCTTCAAATAAAGTCATAGTCTGAGGAGCTAGGAGTTAGGATTTCAACATACGAATTTGGGGGAGACATAGTTCAACCCATGGCATAATCTTGTCTCTTACTGGTGTCTGCTTCTTGAAGAACTTGAAATGACAACTGATGGATTGGGTTTTGGCAATGGGGGATGAAGATGAGAGAGATGTCAGATAAAAGTATTTTTATATATATGTATTCATTGAGTTGGATTTCTTGATAAATCAGACAACTAAAATTGTGGCTCACTAATTTTTATTTGTATTATGTTGGTAATGGTAAAGTAATTAGTTTCAAAGTCATTCTTGGTCACTATTTTACTTTTTTGCCAAAAATAGCCAAGACTAAAAAATGTTTTATCAGTAGTTGTACATTTTGTTATTAAGAATTACTCTGCTTTATCATTATGTCTTCAGATAGGAGAGTATGTATATAAAATACCCAGTAAATAATATATCCCTCAGTTTAGTTTTGAATGTGCTATCGAAGAAATTCAGGAATTAAGGAATATTGCTTACATCTTTCCATACTTAATAACACCCTACAGGCTTTCATTTAAAAGAAAACAAAAAGAGTAAAACCAGATGGGTACAGCAAGTTACATTGATCAGTTTTCTCTCTCTCATAGAGTAGTAGAATGAAATGGAGTTTTATTCTGTTGTGTTTATGTGGCCTCATACATTTTTACATAAAATTTTATCAGGCTTACTTTAGCAGTTCAGTTTTATTTTTGTACTGTAGCTTTTACATGCTATTTAAACAGAAATAATTCTTACCAACCTGAGTATAATGGAACATTGAGGAATCTGCAACTATATTAGACAGCTATTTGAATGATAACTTGATTATCTAGAATGGATCTGATCAAGATCATTTACCTGTGCATGCCATGTGATGAGTCAGTATCATTCAATATAATCAGTCATATAGCTATTTTCTTTTGTCCTTTTATCTTCCATATTTTCCTCTACAGATTTATAAAGTCCCTATTTTTTTGTTAAGAGCCAACAAAATTTGTTTTCGTACTGCAATATGCATTTACTATGTCTAATAGAAAAGTGTCATATCTATAATTATATGTGTAATTGTCACCACCCATAGACAAGATTGTGTGTCGTGAACTTAATTAAAACATTCATTTGTGAGAAAAGAACTATAACTGTTAAAATTGTGTGAGTTTTAGGGTGCCTGGGTGGCTCAGTTGGTTAAGCGACTGCCTTCGGCTCAGGTCATGCAAGTCCTGCATCGGGCTCCCTGCTCAGCGGGGAGTCTTGTTTCTCCCTCTGACCCTCTTCCCTCTCGTGCTCTCTGTCTCTCACTCTCTCTCTCTCAAATAAATAAATAAAATCTTTAAAAAAAAATTGTGTGAGTTTTAAAGCCCCCTTACACTTTTGCTTAAAAAATAAGGCACATTGCCTATTAAAAAATAAAAGTAGCCTTTTTATTTAAACTTTCAGTATACTTTTATTATGCATATTGTATTTTATGTTTAATATTTACTACTTTAACTAGATGGTTCAGCTACTTTGAATCAGCTCAGTAATTTTGAAGCTTTACTGATGTTTTTGACCTTTCCTGAGAAAAATCACTGCATATGGATATATTTGATGTTTTTATACCCATGTTGCTATCACAATCATGTAGCCATCAGTGCCTCGATCTTTGGACTTAGGGGATACTTTTTATTTTTTTAGAAATTGCATTTCAACTTTAAATTCTATTTAACAGCACACAGTTATGAATTAGTAACATTTACTAAAATGCTAACTTCATTTAAATTGAACTGCATTCCCCCACTTATTTGGTGCCCAATAATGTACCTTCTGCATATATGAAATAGGTTCTTGTTTTTAAAGAGCTTGCATTCATGTTTGGAAAACAGCATTTATATAAATGATTAAAGGAGAGTGCAAGCTAGAATGAATAACAAAGTGCTCACACTGATGCAAACATTGGCACTATACAAAGATAGAGAAAATAGCATTGCTAGCCAGATTAGCCATTCACTGAAAGTTTGGGAATTCATTCAAGAGAGGATGAAGACCTTGGGAGTGGAGAACAATGTCAGCTGAGATAAAATTGCAAAAGTCCTTAAGGTCTATGTTTGTATCCTTTTCTTTTTTAAGACTTGCCAGGGTATCCTGTGACTGGCAATGACTAGGTTATTGGCATATTGATACTTGATATATAGTATATGACCCGGGATGATCTTGTTTTTTCCAAAAATGATTCACATGATATTAATTTCTTCTTTGTTCACTGAAAATGCGAGAATGTTTGGAAAGCCATATATGGTGTAAAAACTTGAGTGAAAACCTGGCAAAAGGGAAGAGGAGAAATTCTAACTCTGAATATCCTTAACTTAGACTGCCAAGTGGCTTCGCTCACTCTTGTGTATTCACTTTTTTAAACCAAAGGAATGCTTGAAGATGTTATTCAGTTATGTGGTTCAAAAGGACTAATGGTGAACTATAATCCCCTGGACCTTTTTATTCCTACTTCCAGGGTCAGTATTTTTATGTTCTTAGTTTTTCTGTGAATTACTTTCAGAAGTCTAAATCACAGGTTGGTACACTATGGCCCATCAGCCAGATCTGGTTCACTGACCTATTTTTTTAAGACCTAGGAACCAAGATTTTTTTTTTTTTTTTTTTTTTACATTTTTGAAGGGTTGTAAAAAAACCAAACTAAAAACAAAAAATTAAGGTGGATATGTGTCAAGAGACCATATGTGGTCTTTAGAGTCTGTAATATTTACTATTTGATCCTTTGCAGAAAAAGTTTAGATTTTTGATCTACATAGGGTGTGAGTATGTGTGAATGTGCACAAACATGCACACATATATGTACTTGTTAATGTAACAACCTAAACATTTAAGTTCTCACTATATAAAGACTAGCTTATACTTCTTAGTGCCATTTTTTTTTTTTTTAAGTCTTAACATTAGTATTAACTCTTACATTGGTTACATTTGTAGTTTTAAATACTATACTTTAACCTCTTGTTTACTGTTCAGCGCCTTTGGGTAGGTATATAGATAGATCTATAGGCAGTAACTAGTGGAAGCTTACTTGGTTTTTATCTATGCTTAGTGTAATTTTCTAAATTTTCACCACTGAGACCAGGTACTTTACACTCAGAAGCTAGCACAATGCCTGATGCTTACTAAAACTCAAATATCTCTTTTTAAAAAAAAAACAAAAAACTCTTCATTTTATTGGTCTTTTCTGCTTTCTATGCTCTGTTTTTTGTTGTTGTTGATTTTAAAAAGTTTATTCATTTATTTGACAGAGAGAGACACAGCGAGAGAGGGAACGCAAGCAGGGGGAGTGGGAGAGGGAGAAGCAGGCCTCCCACTGAGCAGGAAGCCCAATGCGGGGCTCAATCCCAGGACCCCGGGATCATGACCTGAGCCGAAGGCAGATGCTTAATGACTGAGCCACCCAGGCGCCCCAACTCAAATATCTCTTGAGCATGTGTTTATATGTATCTGTGTATTATATGTATGTATGTGTAGGACAGTTTGTCTCCCAGGGGGATCCCCACAGTCACATATGTAGAAACTTTAGCTCTTTACAGTTGGCCGTGTAGTCATGGTTTTTATTATCACACTTGTTACATCGAATAAAGTGACCCAGAAACATTTAAGTAAACTTTTATGTTGTTACTTACTGAAATATCTTCTATTTTGTTCTTAATCTCCCATAGACATTTGTGTAAAATACATTTTCTTGTGTGTGGATTTGAGGTTATTTCATTGGCGGTAACTTAGGCATTGTAGGGTCAGATTTGGAGCACTGAGCTAGAATATGATTTCACTCAGACCCTGAATAAATATTTAAAGAGCATCTTAATCAGACACTGCTACAAAGTAGTAATACAGTGGTGAACAAGACATGCAAGTTCCACTCATGGAACTTAGTGGGAGAGAGGCAAATAAACACTCAAATAACCATATACATAAGCAAATATAAATGCAAATTGAAGTAAATAATGTGAAGAAAAAAGTTATTTGAGAGAAAAGCATAGAGTATGATTCTAAGTCAGAGAGACTTTGTTATGTATTCAAATAATGATTAATGTTTAGCACCCTGAAATATTTTCATTTCTCTAGAGCAGTGGTTCTGAAACTTTAGCAGTGCATCATACTGACAAGAAGTGTTTGTTAAAACACGGGTTTCTGGGCCCCAAGTTCAGCATTTGTCATTTACTAGGTCTGAGTGGGCATGAAGATTTGCATTTCTAATAAATTCCTAGATGATTGTGATTCTGCTTAGTTCCTTCTCCTTGGAAACTCTGATTTAATTATGTGGAGATAAGGACTAATATACCAAGGGTGATTCTGACATGTAGCCAGGTTTGTAAGCTACTTAGTGCAGAATTTGAACATGTATATACATAATAGTTTCTTAGTGGGACAGAAAGTACCTAATCCTGCACAGTGGTAAGAAGGCATGGGTAAGGTAGGGGAAAGGCTGGAATAGAAGGCTTCAGTGAACGTACGGTTCCTTAAAGATTTATCTGTCCATACCATAAGCTGATAGAGAAGGGAGTAGGTCAGATGGAAGAAATGGTACACAACAAGTAGGATAGATTTTGTTTCATAAATAATCCTACGTAGTAAATCATTTACATTTCTGAAATGTAGTCATTCTGATATTGAGTGCCTCTGATGTCAGCCACAGAGGGATAATTTATTTTTAGTTTAAGTAAATATAAAGTAAGGATCATCTATGCCATATTCAAATAATTTTTATTTATTATTAATATGTTCTATTTAATAGGATGAGAAGAAGAAACCGAAAGACTAGGAGATATGGAGTTTTGGACACTAACATAGAAAACATGGAGTTGACACCTTTAGAACAAGATGATGAGGATGATGATAACACTTTGTTTGATGCCAATCATCCTCGAAGGTAAGTAAAGTGTTGGGCAGTTTCATTCCATGAATTAGGGAGGCAAGTCCTTGATAAGTAAATAAAGTAGAAAAAATACAGTATTTCATTTAGCAGTTTTTATCCTAACAGATTTTATTCGGTTCTATTTAATGAAGTTTTTGTGCTACCCAACCAATAGCTCACATGCATATTGCTTTGCTAAAATAGGTATAAATAATAGAATACCATTCCAAAAAGAAATCTGTATTATAGTTCTCCTTGCAGAGCTTTGTCCTTTTAACTGCTACATACTGACAAGTAATATGTACTAAGTTTTTATGTGTGTGTGAGAGAGAGAAATATTAGTAAAAAATTGATTTTCTTTTTGCATTCTGAAGATATTTTGATTTTAGTCTGTGCTCCTCTATTTGTAAATCATGCTTTCACTCAAAATTGTGGGACTGATGGTCTGCTAGTATAGCTGCGTTATCTATTCTCAGATCTGTTCTTGCTGAGTGTTAAGACCGTTCCTAAGAGATTTGTATAAGCAGAATTACATGGTTATAGATTTAGTTTCAAAGCAAATGGGATAAGGAAAGGAGGTAATAAAGATTCCACTTAGTAGGGAAAGACATGTTGAAACAGAGGGGAGACTATTTGGCTAAAGGAAAACTAGAGTCCACAATCAGGTACAACAAATACCATGAGTACAGAAATCTTGGCTTTTTATACATGCAAGGTTGGGAGGATCAGCTCTGGCAGAACATAGGGATCTGCAAGGTTTTTTGTTGGTTGGTTGGTTGGTTGGTTTTTGAGGGAAATATGTAGAGTTTTTTTTTTTTTTTAATTTTTTTTATTGTTATGTTAATCACCATATATTACATCATTAGTTTTTGATGCAGTGTTCCATGATTCATTGTTTGTTCATAACACCCAGTGCACCATGCAAAACGTGCCCTCCTCAATACCCATCACCAGGCTAACCCATCCCCCCACCCTCCTCCCCTCTAGAACCCTCAGTTTGTTTTTCAGAGTCCATCATCTCTCATGGTTCGTCTCCCCCTCTGACATACTCCCCTTTTCTTCCTCTCCTGTTATCTTCTTCTTTTCCTTTTTTCTTATAATATGTTGCGTTGGAAATATGTAGAGTTTTACAATCTGTTAAAGAGTTTGGTATTACACTGATGTTATTGGAGAACCATTTGTGTTGTTTGTGTGGAGAGTATCTAATGAGATAATCAGATTTGTGTTGTGGAATAATACTTCTTGTATTAGTGGGAAAGTTGGCCTAGAAGAGATGAAGGATGAGAGGGACAGACCAGGGAATGTAGGAGGCACATAAAGAAGGGAATGATTTCCATGAGATTAAATTACCTGTAGTTATCTTTTATTTTGCAGCCTGCCTCATCACAGACCTTTCTCCAATACTTACCCTCTTTTTTTTTTAAAGTAGTTCCTCACATTCACTTTTCATGAATTATGTGTTCTATTAGGGAGCTAGACATTAATCAGAGTTACTTAATAAACAGAATAAGCATAGGGTGATATGTAACTTGTAGTGGGGACATAGAACAAATAACCAAAAACTAATGGTCCATAAACACCTCTTGGACATGATATGTTAATTGAGACCTTAAATGAGTAGAAATTAGCAAAATTAAAAGTGGATATAGGGGTGGGGGTTGGAGAGAGAACAGCAGGCAACAAAGTACCAGAAGCAAAAGAGAGTGTAGAGTATTCAAGGAACTAAAAGAAGTTAAATAGATGCTATATTAATATCTGTGAGAATAAATGAATGAGGGAATGAATAATTTTTGAGCTTTGAATGCAAAAATAAGAGTGATGGGTAAGGCAGGACAAAGAATCAAAAGGCAGATCATGATCCATGGCAGTCAGTGAGAAGTCACTCAACAGATTATGAAAAGCCACTTGGAAAATTTTAAGACAAGGAAACATAATCAAAGTTGTGTTTTGAAGATTACATAAATTGGAGAAAAGCAAGATAAGGAGTAAGGTAACCAGGAAGACCAGTTAGATGGTACAAGTACATGGGGTGGCCAACACCAGAGTGATAGCAAGAGAAATAGAAAGGAGTAAATTATTAAAGAGACTTTGAAAAATATTATGAACAAAATTTAGTAATTTTGTTTGGAGGGTAAAGGAGAAAGAAATGGTTATAATAATGGAGAAGCATGTTTCGGGGGTAATGATAATTATCAATGATATCAGTGATAATGGCATCATCTTCAGATTTTTAGTAGTATGACCCCATATATTTAAAAAAAAAGACTTAGAACTTTAATATAGATATGTTTAGTTAAAGTAAGAACAGCAAATAAACAGTGCTTACCTATTCATTCATTCATTCATTTATTCACTCATCCAAGAAATGAATGATGGAGCAGCTATTTATATAGCAACTGTTGAATGTCTGGCATTGATCTGGCCACTTGGGATACACTACAGCCACAAAACAGAAAAGAAAAAGAAAAACATCCTGACTTTGTGAAGCTTAACTTCTAGTTGTGAAAAGGTGAGATTGGGAGGTTGACAATTTTCATTTTCACTTGTCCTTCTATATCCTCCTATGTTGATTTTTTTTCTCAAAGATCACATATTTGTACATTACTTTAGAAAAAATTTGCCTTTTGTTTGGGAATAATTTCAGAGCTTCAGAATAGTTATAAGAATAAAAATAGTACAGAGAATATCCTATTATTCTTAAATCTAGATTTACTGACATTTTACTTCATTTGTTCTCTTGTGTGCTTTTTTCCTATCTTATAGATACAGAAGAATGCATATTCCTCATTTTATATTTACCTAATGTTCTGATGTTTCCTTATAATTAGATTCAAGTTATGCATTCTTACCTGAAATACCATATAGATCATGACATGTCTTTCTCAGGGTATCCTATCTGGAGACACACAGTGCCCTTCTTTCTTAGCAGTAGTAATTTTGATGCACCTGCTTAAGGTTTTGCCCCGTTTCTTTAGTATGTTACTATTTTTTCCCCATTGCAACTAATAAGACATTTTAAAATCATGAAAATATTCTGCTTTTATCAAAATTTTCCCCTAAGTTTAGCAGTCATTAGTCTTGATTCTTGCCTGATCTAATCTTCACTGTGATAGTTGCAAAAATAATAATTTTCCAGCTTCAACATTTCCTCCATATTTACCAATCAGCATTGATATTGTAGTATAAGCAAGAGCTCCCCCTCATTCCTTCTGTATTCATTTATCTAACTATTGACAGTATGGAGTCATGATTTTTCTTCTTTTTCATTGCTGTCCTTGCCAGAGAGAGCCTCTTCAAGCTGGCTTCTGTGCCCTTGTTACTTGCTTCCATTTTTTTTTTAAAGATTTTATTTATTTATTTGAGAGAGAGAGAATGAGAGATAGAGAGCACGAGAGGGAAGAGGGTCAGAGGGAGAAGCAGACTCCCTGCTGAGCAGGGAGTCCGCTGCAGGACTCGATCCCGGGACTCCAGGATCATGACCTGAGCCGAAGGCAGTCACTTAACCAACTGAGCCACCCAGGTGCCCAACTTCCATTTTTTTTTTTTTTTTTAAAGCAGTTCCTCACATTCTGGCCTAGCAAGATGTTCCAGGCTCATTTTTACCTACCCTCCCCTAGTGATGGAATTAGCCATTTCTCCAAAGAGCCTTGGTTTCTTTGAGTGGGCACTAAGTGAGCTCTTTGTTATTGAAGTGTGTCCTTACTTCTTGGCCCCTTCAGCAGACAGGTCTATGAAATGTATGTATACGTGCACACACACACGCATGCCCATATACATGCATATTCACATATATAGGCATACTTTACATAGTATTTCTTCAGACCTCCCATTCTACCTTGCTGGTCTATTGCCACTGTGTTCTTTCTTGCCTTCTTCCTTTTCCATAGTTGCATTCTCTTTGTTCCATCATGAGAATGACTTCCAACAATCTTCTGGATCCCAACATCAGCATTTACTTATTTACTCAATTCTGTAATAAAACTAATACAGTTTCAGAATCGCTTTGCCTATGGCACTAAAATAAACAAGCCTTCTAGGAAGGTTTAGGATTTGTTAGTTTTCTCCTCACAACACCATCTTGCCCAAGACTGAGATTATATTATTAGATATGTAAGTGATTCGGCCTTGATTCCTCCTCCCTCTTCAGTGTGTTTATCATAATTATTTGAAATGTAATTGAAGTCATTGGAACTTGCTTTCTGTTTTAGATGTTTTCCTCCCCTTCCCATTGTCATTATCATTTTTAATATGAAATATACTAACATGCTTCCAAAATTAAAAACTATACACATTTTTTTTGAATATTATCCACACACATACACTCAAAGAAGTATCATTCTCTCTTGTATTCTTTCCTCTCCATTCTCACCACCTCACCCCTTGTAGGTAATCACTTTCATTATTTATCTGGTTTATCTTCCCTGGATAAAAGTTGGCAGAAATATGTATTTCTTAACACTTTTCTTTCTTATACAAGAGGTAACATACAATATATGTTCTTTTATATTTTTTTGTTGCACTTTGTAATATCTCCTGTAAGTCATGCTGTATAAGTTCATAGAGATATTTTTCATTTTTAACAGCTGCATAGTATCCCATGGTGTGTAGGTACCTTCGTTTATTCAGTCCATTGCCTACACTTTGACATGTAGGTAGTTTTCAAATTATACTTCAATGAATAACCTTGTGCATATGTATTTTTATATTGTTGCAGGTGCATTTTCAGGGTAAATTTCTAGAACTGGGATTATAGGTCAAAAGGTGTGAATCAGTTTCAACCATGAAATTGAGAGGTGACTATGAGGCATCCCAGTAGACATAGCAAATTGCATGGATTCATTTTTTTTCATTAAAAACAGTGATAAACTGCCTGCCATTTGTCCCCAAATACTCTACTAAGCTATGGGGATATGGTGGTGAACAAAATTGGGCGAAATGCCCATCCCCATTTTAGTTAACAATCTAGTATATATACATAGGCCAGAAATACAGAACAAAGACATTTTGGCAAGAGTTGGGATTCCCCTTTACTGGTTTTTGACCTTGCCAAAATCAGGGGTAATGTTCTTCTCTAGGGCAGACCTACTTTTGTCTCTTTTAAAATGAAGCAATAAGATGGATATTTCAGTACACTGAGAAACAAACAGTTTTTCTGTGTTCTTTTTATTCTTCTTCACCCAGTATTAAACATCATTTCAATAACACCTACACTGATTCTAGACCTCTGCTTTGATTTTTTTCATAGTCTGCATTTGCAGACCCGTTTTTGTGACTCTTACTTAGGGGAAGGTATATACATTTCTTTTCTGTGACAGTCTTATTGTAGAAAACAGTCATTTTCTGCTACTGACAACAGTTTCATAGAGGTGTGTTTATATTTCTTTTACCATCTGAAGCTTAGAGATTATTGTCTGTGTTAAGATATACAGTCTGAACTCTGCTGCTTCATTTGAAGCTGATTCATTGGGCAAGACTCTCTCTGATCTTCTAATGTTAGTATTAGAGATTAAACATGCATTATGCCATCAATTTAGTCAACATTTCAAATTTATCCTGTGGGAAAGATACATATAGATCTTATTGTGACTGATTTACGTAACATTATCAGGGTTAATGCCATTTGTTTCTCCCATCAATAAAGGGGGAAAATCAGTACTTTTATATGGAGAGTGTATTATAAGGTATTTTTAGGCCCTGAAAGAGGACTTCCACCTAAGATTTCCCAGCAGTCCTACCATATAAATGGTAGGAAAAAACCAAGGGAATGGATGAAGATAATTGGTAGATGTCTTTAGAAGGATAAGATCAGGGGTCTTATCACTGAGCCCAGGGAAGAGCCTGGACATAGTGGGGTAACAGAACTACACTAGGAGCAATTATAATAGTCACTTGTTAGTAAGTATCTACTTGAGTGCAGAATATACAGATGCTGTGCTAGGCTCCTTACGTATATTATGGAATCATTTAGTCAGTCGTGTAAAGTAGTTCCTTTTGGTCTTATTTTAAAGATAAGAAATCTGAGGCTCAGAGAGTTGAAGTAATTTGGGCTTCTCTTCCTGCTGTAATTTAATTCCATTTTTTTAAATATTTGATTTATACCTTTATAAAGAGAATAATTGTAAATTCTCTTCATTCTGTCTTCTATATCAGCTCTTGCTATTACTCTTTATTTTGCAAAGGAGGACCCTAAAAGTGAAGAATGTAAATATTATGATATACCTACCTTGCCAACTGCAGTGCAGAATCATACTAGTTTATAGTATAATTGCTGGTAATTCTTGTGGGATTAGCTCTTACTGATGCTGCCTTCATTGTTTAAGTGCTTTCTAAAATTAGTTCCTCTTTATTTTCCAGATTTTATCCACAGAATAACAGGAAGCAAGTTATTTCCAGAGAGGCAAATGAATTTCCTTGCTTATAATTTTATCACAGCATAAAACCATCCTTTTGTAGTCAGCTCTTTCTGAGAGGAATGTTTTTATTGTGGTTTTTAATACATCAGAATTTTAATGATTGTTGTTGGTAGTTAGGATTTGGGGTAATTATTTTCACTGTTTCTTTGTATTAGAGGGAACCATATGAACCTGCCAATATATGGTTTTATCTAAATTTCAAGGAAATGTATTATTTCATGTAATAGTATGCCACAGATAGGACCGACTCCAAACAGTGCGTCAAGGCTCTGTCTCCTTTTCTTTGTGATTCCCTTGGTTTTGCACACCATGTGTTGTCTTCTATTTTAGGCTGATAATAGGATGATGCCAGCAGTTCCTATAATCATACCTAGAATGGTAACTTTCAGTGGAAGATAGGGACTTGCTCTCTTGTGTACCTTCCTTAGGAATGAGAAAAATTTCCCCAGAAACTTTAAACAGAGCTGGGCTTTTTTGTTTGTTTGTTTTTGCTTTCCATATCATTGGTCATGTGGCCATTTCTAAATTAAACCCTGGGAAGAAAAATGGAAGTACCATGATTAGCTCAGAATTATCATTTGTGTTTGAATAAATACTGAGAAGTTAACCACCATTACCACTATATCTAGTATTTTAAGCACTGAGGTTAATGCAATCAAATTGGGAAAATGTACAAATGTGAAAAAAAATAACTTGAGCAATTTGGTTAATAAAATTTCTCTTAAATTTGCTATTGACATCCTAATTTTGTATTTTAGGGGTAATTTCTTATGTTTGGTTACTGAAACATTTTGCACAAAGATTTTATAAAACTAAAAGACAAACGTCAACTCTAACTTTTTTTGGGTGTTTCAGCCCTCTTCGATAGAAAAACTGATGAGGAATTAGATAGCATATACTGACTAAAAACTACCTTAATTTTCTCAAAGAAAAATATTGGAAACAAATACTCATAACCAGTCCTTAAAACAGTTTAAAACAGTGCTTTATGACACAAAACCACAAATGGGAACAATACTCTTGCTATTCTGTTTGATTTCTACTGAACCGTAAAATTATTAGTATTTTATGATGATGTACACTTTAAGACATTTTA